CACCACCCACCCTGGCACCGCTCCGACACCCCCTGTGCCACCAGCTCGGTGCCACCGACGTGCAAAGGGGGCACAGAGGGGTCTGGCACAGGGGTTTGGCACCCCAATTCCCGGTTGGAGGGGGGCTGCCGGCCGTGCCGTGGCTGAGTGACAGCCCCCGGTGCTGGCAGCTGCCTGCACGGCGTCATGGCCGGGGACTGGGCTGGCAGCCACCTCCTCTGCCTGCTCCAGGGCCGCCCAGCCAAGGAGAGACCCCCCCTCTGGGCACAGCACAGGGGAAATGACCCCAAATCTGGGGTTCAGCTCTCACCCCGCTGCGGTGGCCTCGGCTGTGGAGCAGAGGGTCCCCACAGTGGGTGGCCAAAGCTCAAGGTCTGCCCTCCGTCTGCCCCACGGCGCGGGCAGAGGTGGAGGGTATGGGGGGGACGGGTGGCAGGGAACAATCCCGGTGGGATCCCGGCTCCATCCCGTGGGCTCCGGCCCTCCCTGCTCCTCCGGGTGGGGAATTGGGTGATCCCTCCTGCTTGGCACGCTCCGCTGGGCAGTGCCACCACCGACCGCCCCGTCTGCCCGCAGGCAACCACCCAGGTGATGGGCAGAGCCCACGGGGCGCCCCGGTGCTCCCCGAGACAGGGCTACTGGTCACCCCCCCACCATGGCCAGCACATGGATCCAGCCCCAGGGATGGGGGTTGCAGGGACACGCAGGGGACTCTGACCCCCTGGGGACCTCCTACCCCATGGGGACACCCAGCCCTAGATGTGGGGGTACCTGCAGCCCCCCTGGGACTCCAAGTCCTGCATGGGGACCTGCCACCCCATGGGGACACCCAGCCCTATATGGGGGGGGTACCTGCAGCCCCCCTGGGGACTCCAAGTCCTGGACAGGGACCTCCCACCCCATGGGGACATTCCAGCCCCAGGGAGGGACTACTGGGGACCAGCAGCTCCAGGTGGGACTGGGCAGGGACCAGGCAGGGCCAGTAGCCCCCTGCGCCCACCCCAGGCAGCTCCCAGCCCCAGAAGCACCGACCCACAGCCCCCAAACACCCCGTGTGGCCAGAGTGTCACCACCCCAGGGAGGGAGGGGGTCCCCGACCTGTGAGGTGCCTCATGCCCAGCTGGCGCAGCCCCGGGGGCCCGGCGTTGCCCACCACGGCCAGGGCATAACGCTCCTGGAAGAGCTGCGTCCCCCGGATGATGCGCAGGTTCTGCAGCTCCAGCTGCCTCACTTGGTTCTCCGCGATCAGCACGTAGCCCTGCACCTCCTTGATGTCCTGGGGACGAGGGGGTGCAGGTCAGGACCTGGCCAGACCCCCGCCGTGCCCACCCCCCTGACCCCCAGGGTGCTTTTCCCCCCCCTGCACACCTTGAGGAAGGTGGTGTCGGCGTCGGGGGGCAAGTAGGTGAGCTCCAGGTTGCCCTGCACCACCTGGCAGCCCTGGTAGAGGTGCCGCAGGGTCTCGTAGTGGCTCTCGGGGCTGGAGGGACGCAGCAGCTTCATGTCGGTGCCCGTGCAGACTGCGGGGGGGGGGACAGAGAGGGGAGCTCAGAGGGTCCCCTCACCCAGCCCCTCCTCGTCTTCCCCCCCCAGCAGCAAGACCCTCTGCAGGAAACGCCACCACGGATTGGATCTGGTGGCCCTTTATCTCCGGGGCTGCTCCCAACAGCTTCCGATGGGCTTCCTGGATGGCCACTGCCCCGGCACGCGGCAAAGCTGCTCCTGTTTTGGCAACCGGCCCCGCACGAGGGACAACGGGGGTGGGGAGGGGGGGGGCAACGTCGCCCCGTGCCCACGGTGGGCGTCGGG